GAAAGTGAAGACAATGAACACGCAATGCTTCGATGAGCGGAATAATAGACAAGGAATCGGGTGTGGAGGAGCCAAATAATACTCGCGGAAGCTCCATTGTTTTGTGACGAATTCAAACAAAAATCTAGATGAACTAGAAAACATCATTTGCAATGTAACATTTCATATTAAAATGAAATTTCATACACTACACTCGCGTCAGCTCAGCTGAGCAAGTGAGTTGAGTTGAAGGATTTTGAATTTAAGTAGCCCTACACCACATCGTATTCATTCTAAAAAAAACAGGTTGAAGCGTTAATTCGAAATTCCTTGACACAAACTAAAGCAGAAATTACTCCGTACTTTAGCGTCACGTTGACACATTGGAATGACGAGGTTCGAACTAAAATTTCAGTACTTTCGAGAAAACGGATGTGGAAGTTTCTGTAACTCATTATTCGGGCATCTGTCCACCTAAGTGATGTTATGCAAGACCTATTTTATATTTGTAACAAACGTCCGATAGACTCTTTTTACACTCAAAACTTATTTCGACTGAAACCTTAGTCAAACCAAATGGTCTACTTACTTGTTACACCAGCACCTCCAGTCTCGCGCAAAATGTATTAGCCGATTTGGGAGCAAGATGAGCAAAATGACGAATAGGATAACGTAGAGCCGAACCATTAAAGTGTTGTATCCTGGCATTTGGCTCCGTCAGTCGCTTTCATCTCCCCGCCGGCGAATGGCTTCCGCAAAGAGTCATCGGCTCCGTGACCTTGGAATTACAAACCTGTTAGGATGCCCTGGCCCGGGAAGAGGACTCGTTTCTTCCCATTGATCGAATTACTCCGAGGCCGTGCAACGCTCACGGTCTAAGGAGGAAGTAGGGTTACGTGCGTCGCCGCCACACAAACTACTCCTCACCACGTACGTTCACCGCTGAGGGCAAACGCCTGGGAGGTCAATGACGACCCAATGACAAACGAGGGAAACGTAAGTAGATTCTGAACTAACACTTTCCTGCGGTTCGGAATGGAAGATGAGGCACACTGTTAAGTGAAATATCTTCAGGGTGTAATTATATTCATTATTTCCATTGCGTGAAGAAATTTCTTGACTACATAAATTAAAAGAAGGAATCGTAGATTTGTGACCAGTTGTATCACTTTTGGATATTTTAATTTTTAAAAATTATTTGTAGTTTTTAATAAATGGAGAAATGTAATATCCAGAATGTTTGGTAGATGGCTTAAATTTGGTACACATTTTTTCCGAAAATGGTGAACGTTCTCATGTCAAACTATAGTTATTAGTGATATCTTACAAGTTTTTAGTAGGGTAATACTGATATTCTCGAAATTTAATTATTTTTAGTGAGTATGGTTTGAGTGTGTTATTTGCAATGATAATAAATATTACGCAAAAACATTATATTTTCAAAATCAGGTTCGCGTGGGTTATTGACGCTAAAGACGACCACGGAAATGACTGAATTCAGATGATCCACCTACTTATGCTAATCACGTATTACAGCTCTCGCTTTTTCTTCAGAAGCTACTCCATCGAAAGTGAAATAGGGCATGGATTGCAGGCCTCCATCGACGCTGCTTCTCAGCATTCAGAAACCCAATCATTATTAAAAAATGTAAACGAGTGTGTATTTATTGTTTCTCTCTCAGAATCCATAGGAACTTTTAGTATAATATTTTCGAATTATTCTATCTATAGTGGATTGCTCTTCTTGAAAATTTAACTACACAGATAACGATATATTCTTAGTGTGTCATCCCACATTTGAGAAGGATTCGTTGAAACTAAATTATTTTAAACTAATTATCAAACACAGCATTATCTAGATGTATAGGCTCTAAAAATACAAAATAACTTGCTTAAACACATCTAAGAAATATAATTTAAAAAATGAAAAGGCCCCAGAATTTTTATTGGTTCAGAAAGTTTAAAATTTCGTTTTTGGCCGAATGAAATACACCACAATCTCGTAACGCTTTTTAAATCCGTAAAGCCCACTGACTCAAAGCTAAATCAAACAACAAACTATCAATTTTTCTGCGGAAGAACACATTTTTCCTTAAATGGTTAGTAACCCCAAGAAGAGCATCGTGAAAGGAAAATGACGACCGCCCTTCCCCAATTACCCCTTGCATCAGCGCAGCGGCCCATCCCTCACGCGCAGCGCCCCTTTCAC